ATTATTATTATTATTAATACTAATACTAATAATAATAATAATAATAATATAATTATTAATACTAATATATAATTAATACTAATAATAATATGTACAACGGAGTCCTTATATTTCTTTCCTTTCAAACATATTTCTCTGCAAAGATAGCAAATGACCAGACGAAAGTCAGAAAACTCTACGGGAATTCTGGCCCAGACTAAGACAAGATAAAGAAAAGTTAATTCAAGAAAAAAGCGAAGAAGTGGAAGAACATAACAACAAATGGAGATCGTAAGAAATTTTCCAGATCATCCGAAATATGACCACGGACTGTAAACCAACAATGGCGAATGTTAAGAACGAGAACGACAAAATAACGAAATAACAAAATAACAAAATAACGAAAGAAGAGATCACGAAAAGATCGCGAAAAGATGCGAAGAATACGAAGAAGTTATATGATAAGGGCTTACAAATATAGTAGTGTATAAATATGGATGATTACGAATAAGAACCTGAGATCGAAGAAATTAATTGGGCGACAAAACAACTGAAAAATGGGAAGTCCCCGGCAGTAGATAATATTCCAATCTCACTATTCAAAGATACAGGGGAAGATGTCTTGGCGAAACTAACACAATTATGCATTTTGATCTGGAAAATAAAACAGTGAACAACAGATTTGCAACGCACTATAATTATTCCATTACCAAAAAAAAGAAAACAGCAAAGATAGTGCAAATAACAACACAAGTGCATGAATACCGTGTGATTCAGTCAATCGTCAAATTCGGCATCCCTCGGAAAAAGAAAAAAAAGAATTTTAAAAATGTTGTTACTGTAAGCATATACTTTAAGATTTTCAAAAATAATTCACATTGAAAGAAACCTCATTTTCTATCTACTCTAGAATGTTGTGTAGATTGCATTACGTCGCGTAAGCGTTAGAGTAATTTTTAAACTCGTTTGAATGTTCCATATTTTTTATATCATTGTGTCTGATATGTCACGAAAGAGTCACGTCTAACTGGTTTTGCATGATGCAATTTCTACAGACTACTAACTTTTACAGACTACTAACAATTTCTACAGACTACTAACTTTTCCAGAAAATCCACTTTTTATAAAACAAAGAAAATGGAAGGGAAAATACGCTCCAAATGCAAGCAAACATCTAGGAGTTATCCAATTACATCATTACCCTTTATTCATTTACGTAGTCTGTATGAAAAGACTCACCAGGAATTATTTATTCCCTTCAAAATTATACAAATATAACAAATTTATTTTATATCAAAATAAGTTACCAAGTACGCTGGGATAAGTCATGATTCATACTATCTTATTTCGATGCTTGTTACGGCGTTGGAGTCAGGATACAGCTCGCCAGATCTCTATTTTATCACATTTTAAAATTTGATGTCGTAGGCTTCGTCGGTCAGAGTCATGTGCATGATCTGAGATGGTTGCCGACGTTTCGACCATCTTGTCGTAGTCTTACCATGTCCATACCATCAGATGTATGGGCGTGCCAGCCCTGAGGAAGACCACGACAAAATGGTCGAAACGTCGGCAAAACAGTCTTTGACGTCACCCGGACAGCCAAGAAAATGCATTTTTTTAAATTTGTCCGAAAGTACGAAAACATTTTTAAAATTAGCTTCGACATTCTTAAAATTAGCATCGAATTAATTCGACTATTTTACTTGGGAAAGGAGATTCACCAGATAAACTCTTTAAAGCAGATAAAAGTCGTTTTGAGATCAAAAATCGAGTTGGAGGATAAATGAACTCGTGCGTATACTCCGCTCATTTTTTACGGTATTTGACAACGGAAGATCTTAGACCAAGGTGGAGTGATAACAGAATATCTTAGAAGTAAAATATATCTTAAATAAGATGTGAGGAGATGGAACAACGCGGATATTTACACAATTAGTTCCTTTTTAAAAAAAATAGTTAAAAATTGGAATCAATATTTTCAGTAATGCGTCAAAAAATTTTAAAATGGTATTCGAAGGAAGACTGAAATATGTGAAAAGGTAGTTATGTACTACTATTACAGACCGTTTACCTCGGTCTGTAATAGTAGTATAGAATCTCTAGTTTGATATCCGTGGAAAAATAGATTGAGATGCAAAGTGACGAACGCATAAACCGAGTGTGTGGCTTGCGTGTCCCGCAAGTACCGCCTCCTCCGTCGGGGCTGGCCGCACGACGCCGGGCCTGGCCATGCCACCGCGCTGACAGAGGGCCCACAACGGGCGGGTGGGTGACGCAACGGCGCAGAAGGGGAAGTGGGGGGGGCGAGTTGTTTTCGTAAATTTCACTTTACGACGCTCCTATTCGTCCGATTTGCATGATTGTCACGGCGTTGGATTCAGGAAGCATGTCGCCATCGCGCTATAACGCCACATGTTCTTGGAAGTTTGAGAACTAATTTCAAATTCGTGTTTTTGCTAGATTTTTGGAAAAAGGTCATCGTAGCGTAAATTCTATTTTAAAACGGCGTCAAATGCTGTTTACAAATCGAAAATCGGACCATTGATTCAGACGTTATCAGTAAATTAAATTCCCCTGTGATAGCACTGCGATCTATTGAATTTTCCTACAAGTATTTTTCGGTGCATTTAGCCTTAACGAACGCTTAAAGTCCAAATACTTACCGAGCAATCGCAGTACGATGCCAAACAAGAAGGAAAATAGGCTGCCGTAGGTGTTGGCGCCCTCCCAGTGGATGACTAGCAGCAGCTGAGGGAACAGGATCACGTACACCAGATCGGAGCACAGCACCCTGTACAAACACACCAATACGTCTGCACTTCACTTATTTGCAGGAACAATTTCATGCACATCAGCCTCGTGGAGCCAACGACAACTGACCTCGGCCAAATGCGCCTCGCCTCGTCCGGAGAACCCACAGAAAACGAGCGATCAGAGCAGCCGACCGTTAGAATTCCTCCCTAGACAGAGACTGAATTCCACCCGTGTATCTAGCTAGTGTCGAAAACCCTGCCACTCTTGAGACTCGAACCCTAGTGTGCGTGTCGGAGCGACACATACACTGTCTGGATATATTTTTAACGAGTTGAAGTTTTCGCTTTGTGCATCGTGTGCAGCGTGGCAGGAGCGCTCAGCCGAGTGCCCTTACGAGAGGTAGTAGATGCTTCCCACGGTGAGGGCGATGCAGGAGGACACGGCCGCCACGAAGACAACGGAGATCCGGAGCACCCACAGCACCTCTCGCTCCGACGCCTGCACAGGAATGCAACGCACCGCGTTACAAAATGGCACCACCACACGCGGAGGAAACGAACTTTCGACTGTTTCGAAAGGAATGTCACGTTAAACTTTACAATAATATTTTCATTCCTTCTATTTCAGTTATTCGTATGTGCAGATGTTCTTTTGTCGCGGCATTACTATATTTTTCATCACATTCTGCCGTAATATCTATTCCAACAGTAAATACAATTTGCATCTCATTCTTGGATTCCCAATTATTCTCGAAGATAACATTTTATACATACCACTGAGTCTATAATTAGTCATAACACACGAGATAATCTATACCTCGAATATAATCTGGTTGCACAAAATTCGTCTAGTAACAGTCTGTGACGACTGAAAAATAGTGGAAATGTGCGGCATGACAAAATTTTTCGTTGTCTTAGTGTTGTTACTCAACTCCGGACTGGAACCTAAAACCTCCCGGTTATTGGCATTGCAGTCACATCAGTTGATGCCCTGAGCCTCCTCAGTCGGTCCCTCAGTCGGTCCCTCAGTCGGTCCCTCAGTCGGTCCCTCAGTCGGTCCCTCAGGCGGTCCCTCAGGCGGTCCCTCAGGCGGTCCCTCAGGCGGTCCCTCAGGCGGTCCCT